TAGAGCTTATGCTTCCAAATGTGATTGACCTCTGATTAATGTCCAGCCATATGATCACGATGTTACCATGCATGGAACTTACAAACCTGTTTTTTCTGTTGTTGTTTTTGTTTTGTTTTGTTTTGTTTTAGCTTTTAGGTAATCCAGCATCTGCAGGACGGCCTGAAAGGGTGGAACATGCAGGACGAAGGTCCTCTCATGGCAGTGCAGTGCCACAAAGGTCTCGGCCAATGTTGGTCCCTTCCATTGGTTAGTTGGACAGATTGGTGCATTTCTGTTCTTTGCAGCCTCAGAGTTGGGAAGGCAATCCTTAAAAAAACGAAACAATGGATATTTGTCTTGAACCAGGCTACTCCCAGTTTAAATGGGGTGAAGTGGGACTAAAAACATCTCCACGTAAATGAGTGTACTGGGGCCTCACAGGGGGTTGAATTAGTAGTCATTGACATCCCTGGGAGTCTTTTCATTAAATTTAGTGGGTATTGGAGCTTTTTTAAGCTTGGTTAAGCTTAGATAATGTTAGATCTTACCTAAGAAGAAATTTGCTGGCAGGTTACTATATGATCAGTAAAATAAATGCAGCCATTCAGCCATCCATTCACCCATCCATCCTTCCATTCATCAACCATCATTTTGCATTCACTTTCCATTGTCTTGACTACTTTTTGGAATTTAAAACAAAATGGAAAATGGAAGCTGTTAAATGCAATAAGTTCGTAGAACTTGCATATATTTACTAGATTTGGTTTTTCTTACAGAGTCATCTCTATTCTGGTTTAATTATGACCTAATCTATATGCTGGTGAACACCAGAAAATCCAAAAAGTAGTGGGAAAAAGATAATGGAATCAAGACACTGTGGACAAATATGTATCTGTTAAAACTTGCACTCTAAACTGAAAAAGGAGAAACATTCACACTGAAAATCAGGATACACATGCAAAACAAATGCAGGAAGAGTTCTGTGAGTTATTCACAGAACTTTACTCCATGAAGATGGAAAGTTTATCTGTTTCCTGTCCCTGATCTGGACTTTAATTTGTGAATATTGTAGGCACCATGATGAGGAGAAGGAAGCAGTGTCAGGCAATTCTCACTGACTTGTATGGGAATAATTGATGTAACAAATGGGGATTGTCAGAAGGAAAGAGACTGATCATTAAGGAATGCTCTTATTTTTAAGTATTAAATTTTTTTCCCTTGTCATAAAATCACACTAAAATTCCTGTACTGTAAATTAAAAGCAAAATCCTCCTAGTGAGCATATTTCTTTGGATATCTAATGAATAGTAACTACTGTTATTGAAGCCATAGATCAGAAAACAGACACAGCTGCAAAATGCACAAAACTTGCTCAGTCTCCTCAGTGTTGTGTGGCTGGTCAGAGGCTGATTCTCATCCCAATTCCTGGTGCAAACCAGGATTAGCTTCACAGATGTCAATGGAATTACACTGGAATAAAAATGGCATGGAGGAGAATCAGGTCCAGGGAGGCTCTTGTGCTTCTCCTGACAGGTTATTGTGAGCTGAACCAAAGAGCTTTTGGATGATGCTGTGATGAATGTTAGATTTTCATGTCCTCTTTCTTTCCCTCTGAAAGCAGCCTTGATTTCACAGGAGTAAAGATTCCTGGTTTACCTTTGGACTACTTAAAGCAAATTTTGTATAGAAGTTCTTTCTTTTCTATTATCTGCTAAACCCCCCATTTTTAATAGCAAGACAGTAGAGAAGTTTGTGTGACTGAATCCTTTGGGTTTCCTTTTAATTTTCATTTTAATTAAAAAATAAGGGAAGTGATTAAATTTATCAGAGCTCACTTTCTGTAAACAAGGTTAGGACACAGAAACCACTAAGCAATGACTTTGCTGTTTAGCAGTTTAATAGCAACAGCTTAGGAATCTGATAAAGAAATTAATTTCTGATAGTCTGTGCTCAAGGAGATAATTAAATAGAAAATAATAACTCAGATTTTGTTTCATTCAGTGTAACTTAAAGCATTAATTATTGTGGTTTGTATTATTTACAATCCACAAATGCCATTTGGGAAAATTCCATTAGAAATAAATGACAATATTGTCTCTTGCTGGTAACAAGAAACTATTGAGCATTATGCACAATATTTAACAAAAAATATTATTTGCTGTGAAACTATTGGAAGACCTTATGTGGTTTAGAGTTCAAGAGTCCTAATTTCTGACTAGAAGACTAATGATTAAAGTTGCTGAAAGGTAAGCATGCAATATTTCTCCCTTTCAGCACCATACTGAAAAATACCACTTTGAGGAGAACTGAAGCAAGTTTACACACTTGATAAAACTGCATGAGAGTTCCTTCCTGTAAACCTACTAGGAAAAAAAAAATCTAGAAGATATGAAAATTATTGAGAGCTCAGATAAATAAAATGTAATAAAAGTAGGGCATCCAAAAGCATATAGTAAATCACTGTATAAATTGAACCCACTCTTTGGATCTCCAGTGACAGAGAACATTTCCCAAGAGTAAGGGCTGTAAGGATGGTTTTGAAGAAGGAAGTTTCTAAGGCTGTGTCATTATAATATGGAGTTCCATAAAATGAAAAGCAGAGTAAAATAAGAGAGTAAATATGATTGAGCCAAAGTTTAGGCTTCTTAAATACCTGAAACTTGTTGGCCTCAGGTATAGCTCAAAAATATGGATTCCAAATTTGTCTGGGGTTTTTGTTGAGTTATTTGGCTAAAGGATCACTTACGTGATGGAGAGTTCTTAAAGCAGTTCTAGGAGAAACAGGAAAGACTTTCAAGATTGTAATGTTCTTAGGACTCCGATAGCAAAATCTCTCTCTCTAAAATGTTCCATACTTTAAGTTCTTTGAGGTGTTTTCTCCATAAATCTACAAATTCTTTAGACTAGTATCTTCTTGCAGGTAGGATTTAAGTGAATTAATTAATTTTTGGTTTTAGGTTGATACTTTAGAAGGTGAAACAGAGTTTACAGTGCTCTTGACCTTGCAGATCTGGCAGGTAGGATTGTATTTAGGATTGTTGTTTAAACCTCATAATAAAAGACAATTCCTCTCCAAAGACATAACAAACAATATTTACACTGTATGAATTTTAAAAAGCACAAAATCCAGATTCATATTTCTGTGACACTCCCCCCCCACACACACTGAAGAGGATTTTTAGAGGCTGAGACATCTGGCAAAGCTTGTGCAGTGTTTAGGAAGCGAGAAAACCAGGCAGGCCCAGCCTGCCAGCAGGAACCTCCGCTGAGGCAACTCTACAATCTGTTTTAATAGATCATTCCCTTTTTCTCCATAGAAATTACAATGGACAGTAACAGTGAAGGCGCTCGGTCTCGGTCAGGTAGTGAGGGAAATATTTCACCTGTAAAAGAAGAAGCTTATTATGGCAGCATTGGACACAAGCAGTGGCCCCCGCGGCGTCCCATGGCCCCTCACTATGGACACGGTACGCCCACCATTCTTCCTCCTTTGTGCCAGGCACGGTTTAGAGCTGCGTGTTAACCATGTGTGCCACCCTTGCATGCCATGCAGGATGCCAGGGGGACTGGCTCTGAGTCCTGGGTGCCCTCAGGTAAGTTCCTCCATCTCGGCTGCAAGGGGCAAACGGCCCCGAGGGCTCTGTCCCGCTGCACAGCCCCCTCTCCATACTCGACCGAGTCCAAGCATTGCATGAACTCTGTGAAGCTCTGCTGCTCCCAATGCCAGCCAGTTACTGTACACAGCTGAACCACCATCCATCCAAACATCCCCACTGGATCCAGGCAGATGGGCAGGGACAAACAGCACTGGTGTGTCACAACCCAGTGTTCTGCAATTACCAGACATTATTGGTAGGCTGAACGAAGACTGGGGGTCTTTTCAGTGGCCACACAGGACTTTGGCTGTGTCACTTGATGAAGACAAAGATTATTCTTTGTGTTCTACTGCACTGCATAAGTAAGGCAGTTTTACCCACTACTGATAGTATTTGTTGCTTTACCAAGAAAGAAATCATTACCTGATCAACAACTCAGTTCTCACAGTTCATTAGACGGGGAATTGAAGTGTGTGACACTGAACCCACAAGAGCAGCCCAAGCCATGTAGAGAGCTAAGAAACACACTCAGGTTTTGCTGATATCTGAAATGAAACAGAAGAGGCTCTGAAAGTTTAGGTAAATTGTAATTAAATGCTGAGTTTCCAAGCAGACCTGTCTGACACAGCCAGAACAGCAGCCTGGGTGTATCAGTGTAGATCGAGTGAATTCAGGGTAACTCTGGTTGCCACTGTGCACCAGTCAGGAGTTTGGCTGGGTGCATCCAGAGACAAGATTGTACATGCACAGTGATGTGTGTGTGTGTGTGTGACATGCATTTGTACCTCCTGATAAGATAAGTGGCTAATGAGCTAATCAAGAGATTATTTGCTTTCTGGTTCACCGAAGCAAACATGAGTATTCTGATGTTCTGGCACAGGCCAGTGCTTTTAACAGAGATACATTTGGCTGTGATTCATGTTTCCACCTTACCTTCATTAAGTGCAGTTGGAGTTGGATGCAAAAATTGATATTTTTTTAATTTAAAAATCAAAACAAAACACCCCTTAGCCCGCCTGGTTCACGCTGCCTGGTGGGCCTGGGTATCAGCCTCAGAATGGCTGCAACCTGACAGGGGGAGGAGAACAGAACAGAGAAGGATCCCATCCTTTGTGTCTCATTGCTTTCTGTCCCACATGTGCCCTTTTCCCACACTTCCTCTCTATGCTTTGTGCCTGCCTAAAGCTTCTTGGCTGGAATTTTTCCCTGCCCTTTTGCTTTTCTGCATTTTATCCTTACATTCTTTCTTGAGCTCTGGACCCACGAGTTAGGAGATGTTCCCTGAAAGCTGTGACCCTCTGAACATTTTTTCTGGTAGTTTACAATTATCAAATGTTGAATAAAATGCATGATGTAGAGACAAAAGAGGGAAAAAGGTAAAAAGCATTTATCTGAAATGTTTCATATTGAATGCTCAAACTGTTAAAAAAACTGTGAGTCTTTAATTTGCAAGAGGTGATTACAGTAAAAATTTTATTAACATGAAAATTGGAAAAAATTGATACAGTTGAACTACATTTTCATCATAATTCATAACATCACTTTCTCAATTTATTCATTGTGAAGGATCTTGCAAACTTGATGATGAATGTTGATTCAGCAAAGAACAAAAGTATGTGACTCCCAGTGAAGCCAGAGGGACTTTTCAATAAGCCAAGATATTCACAAGTGGCTTGTGATTTTGAGGGCTTTAATTTTTGGGACTTCAAGTTCATGTGTCTTGAAAAAGACTGTTTGGGAAAGTGCTGCCACATCCTCTTTCAACCCAAAATTAAAAGCCTTTTAAACCCATCAGTCAGAACAGTCAGTGTTAGCCACTTTGACCTAATCTTCCAATCTGGTTTTCTGAAGTCCATCCTTAAGTATGTTGGCAAATCATGGACTAAACACATTCTCCAGGTCATTTGAAAAGTTTGAAAGGTATATGAGACAAAATGTTCATTCTCATTTTTAATGTCCTAATTGACCTGTTACCCTGCAGTGGACAGAATTCAGTGTCAAGTGTTGGGATATTCAAGGATAGTCTTTCCTAATGAGATTATAGTTACATGCAATCATCATTTCTCCTGGATTTTAACACATTTGTTAGTGGTTTGGGTTGGTTTGGGCACTATGTTAACTATTGACAGTGTTACAACAAAATCATAGACAGTGTAGTTCCAACCCTGGCAGGACTAACACTGCTGAAATACCTTCCTTTCTTCCCTGTCTGGAGAGGTTGCAACCATGTTTTATTTTTAACCTGGTATCTAAAACATGGTTTGTCAACACAGTGGGATGTGCTTTCTAGTGTCCATGAAGAGCAGAGACAGCTGTGCTGGAAAACAAGTGGATCCAAAGCATGGTTATTTTTTCAGGAATGAAAAAGCCTGTCAGACTCATTGTTATGTCACTCCTAACATGCTCCATTAATTTATGGTAAACTCTACTAAATCTGACAAAAATGGCTTTCCTACCTGAGCTGTATCCACAAGTGTAAATGTCAGTGTGGGGTAGGAGATAACACCATTTTCAGTGCATGTAGATTTTATACACATTTTAAAAAAGTACCAGCTTGCTAATTAAAAAAAAAAAAAAAAAAAAGACCAACCCAGCAAGCTTTATAGGACATGCATTGAGGTTTGGGGATTTTTTTTTCCCTGAAATGCCAAACGTGTTTCAAATATTAACTGGAATAGTCGAAAGATGGGGCCAACTTGCATTACTGAATTGTTCTTTTCTGACTTTAATTTCCCAGATGGCTATGGTGGTCATGACCATCTTTCTCCAGATCTTTATGAAGAATCCGAAACAGATCCTGGCACAGAAGATATTTCCACTCGAATATTTGTTGCACTCTTTGACTACGATCCGCTGACCATGTCCCCAAATCCCGACGCCGCAGAGGAGGAGCTGCCCTTTAAAGAAGGACAGATCATAAAGGTGAGATCTGAAAACAAGGGAAATGAAGGACCCAGTTTTGCAAACAGGGTCTCCTTTGTCCCTTGTGTGACTGGAATCCAAGGGGGTTTTTTCCTCCAGAGGTTCAGGCTGTAAATCTTGCTGCATCTGGAATCTAGTACTAATGGCTTAAAAATAATTACAAGGTGGACAAAAATCTCAAAGTTTCTGTAGATAGTTAGGGCCAGACTTAATTAGAGATTTAGTGTGAAGACTGTAATTGTGACTGAAGCTCCCTGTGTCCATTGCCACAAACCCTGCAGGAGAAACTGCTCCAGAGAGGAGCTGCAAAGGTCCCCCAGGAGCATTGAGTGTTGTGCCCTCATACAAAGCAGAGCTGCTGTATTTTTTAAATGCTGGGCACTCCCAGATAATAAACAATTTAGACTGATTCCAAGTCCAGAAGTCATGTATTTCTGTTCCCTTTTCTGTCAGTTTGGTGTAAAATACACACACTGCCTTTAAACAGGGCACGGAGGACAAATTGGCTCTGTCAGGGGTTGGGCTCTGGAAGTGTTTTTTCCCAGCCCTCCATCCCAGCTCGCCCCATCTTCTGACAGTGCAGCTGCAAGGCAAATTTGTTCAGCTTGCTGATCTGGTTTTAAAAAGCCAGCAGATATTTCTGTGGAATCAGCAGAAGTGTTTCCTCCTGCAGCCTTGCATCCATTTGATCTGCAGCAAAACAGGCAGAAATGAGAGAGGCAGAAGGAGCAGCTGCTGGTAGTCCAAGGGTGATTGAGGTTTAAGTGTGATCTGAAAGAGAACCTGAAAAAAATAGACTCATTTGAATATTACCCATTTCAGAGATTAAATTCTATCTTAAGCTATTAAAATCCTGACTGCCTTCCACTGTGTTGAGTCTTAACAAAAATGTTTGTACTCTAAATCACAATTTTTGTAACATTGAATACTCTGTTCTGTATTTTGTTTACCTCTCCCCACGATATAAGGTTTGTGCCAAAAAAATTGATCTTGTTAAGAGCTTATTTTCCTTTGCAAGGCTGTGCATTTCACTGAGATATTGTAATTATTTCTTCACAAATATTTACCTGTTTGGCACTGAAAAGTCTAGTGAGACCCCACATCAGATATTTACTGTCAGTGATGTTTATTTTATATTTGGTGACCATGGTGACTGCTCTGTGAACTGCTGCTTTGAATTTCTTATCAAACTGTTGTGAGGATGGATTAGTTTCCATTTCCAAAATGTTTCTGGTACATCCCCTGAGCAGTGGGGTGGTGGAGGGTCAGTTCCACGAGCTGTAGGAAACCTGTACACGTGTTACAGTCTCATCTTCTGTCCTGTGTGCAGGAGTGAGGCCAGGTGACTCAGGGACAGGTAGGGATTAAAGCTGAAAAATATTCCTGTGCTAGAAAGTTGAGGCAATCAGTCAGTTTTAATGAGCTCAGATTTGAGTGGAACTCAGTCATCAGTTTTACTTTAGGAACATAATTTTTGTTTAGCACAGTCCTAGATCTAGGCCTTTGTATCATTAGCAGCCTTTATGACTTGACTGCATTTTTAGCACTGCAGGGAAATTTTGGATTTATATGTTCTCACTGAGGACATCCATGCTATTTTTATATCATGTTTTCTCTAAAGACAAAGCAAAGCTTAAGTACATATATCAAGTACATTATGTATTAGATAGGCATTTTTGATCACATAAAAGTTGTTTGAATAAAAACAACAACATTTTGGCACAATTTTTGCAAACGTTTCATTTTGAATATAATTCCAGAATAATTCCATAAACATCAATGTAAACCATCAAGTAAACTTCTGGCTCAGCACAGGGAGAGTCTGATGACTTTTAAGGCATTTTTTGTGCATTTCACTGCTGACAAAAAAAATTCAAATTCTGTAAATTATATGTCTGGAGTTATAATTCAAATAAATGTCACAATTCCAGTTTTATAACCTAAGTCAGAGTAGTCAAAAAATAATATAGTTCCCCATGCAAACTGCAGTCATCATCTCTGCTTTGGTAACCACTTAGCCTGCATTAAAATTCCTAAATGCCAAAACCTTTGCTGACCAATGTTGTCACTCTCTGAATAACAGGTTTATGGGGACAAAGATGCCGATGGATTTTATCGTGGAGAAACCTGTGCAAGAATTGGCCTTATCCCGTGTAACATGGTCTCTGAGATCCAAGCAGATGATGAAGAGATGATGGATCAGCTTCTTAAACAAGGTTTTCTTCCTTTGAACACACCAATTGAGAAAATTGGTAAGGGAAAATATAAACATTTCACTTTTCCTAACTTTTGGGTGCTCTTAAGTTGGCTGGATCTGCTGTACCTCTTGTTTTCACTGTATGCAGATGCATCTAAATTTTCCAGCCATTTGCTACCCCATGGAATATATTCTGTGTTGGTATCTGGATGACTTTATACAACTGATACTTAATCTTGCTGATATCTTTTGCTGCAAATGGGGATTTGTAACTTCACCACTCGACTTGCTACCTTCTTTTCTTATTAAAAAAAAAAAAAAAAAAAAAAGATGAAAATTGCAGAGCTTTAGTTTTGCAACTAAAACTGTTCAGAGGATTCAGTGGCTTAGAATAGGTGGCCAGATGAGTGTTAAATATTATTTATGAAGCCCATGTGGTTTCACATCCTTTATCTGTGCTAATAGGTTTGGTAACTTTTTATCACTGTGCTGGAGAAACACCCACGTTGCTGCTGCACTGCTGGGAAAAGGCCGGGAGGGAAAGGTGCATCGTGGTTTTATTTTCAAAATAACTTTGATAGCTTTTCCTCACCTTCCTCCCCCTGTGACTGGAGCAGAGAGAAGCAGAAGGAGTGGCAGACAACAGCCAGTGACTACAAGAAGGATGGTGGCACTGTATGATTATGATCCAAGAGAAAGTTCTCCTAACGTGGATGTAGAGGTACGGCCGGAACCGGGTGCTGTGGGTACCCAGCATGGTCAGGACTGGTGGGCACTGCTCTCCATTTGGGGTGGGTGTGCAAAGGAGTAGTTCAGGATTACAAACACAAGTCAAATGGTTTGGAGCAGATGTGTATGACAAAGCTTATGGCTTCTGTACAAGTAGATTCACGGTTCTTGTCCAAAAAAAATCAAGGAATATCCTCTGTAGGTTTTATTTAATACAGCTCAGTACATAACATGGTTGTTATGCCATATGTGTGTGTACCTGCAAATATAACAGAAGTCTGTAAGGAAAAAAGCAGTTATAAATTGTAGGGAATTTTTATTTTCTGATTTCCTCTGTCTGTTTGCACCCAAGACCATGATTATTTTTGAGAAGTACCCTAGCTCACTCTAACAAGCTGATAGTCCTGAGTGCTTTCAAATCTCTGTAACCTCCGAAAATCCACCCTCCCTCACAACCTAAGCCAGAAGGATACAGCCCATGGGAACAGCATTCATAGTATACTGCATTTTTCTCTTAATTGATGCATCTGAGCTTTCATGAATGTATGTCTTGATTATCTCTTTTTTTGTTATAATAATTTAGGGATATCTTAAACAGCTGAGCACTAGCCACATCTTCATTTAAAACCAGCTGAGCATCAATTACATCTTCATTATAGGTTTATCTTCCATGTACCCACTTGCAGTCTCCCATTTCTCCATAACTCTGACCAGCAACAAGAGTCACTTTTTACATGTCTTTGGTGTTACGTGGCAAGTCCCTTAGTCCAGGTTTGGTGCAGGTTCCATTTCTGTCTGCACTGTGGTAAGAATGTCAGGGTACACTGAAAGCTCTAAAAACCACTGCATATCTGGGAGCTTCCTCAGTTATCCTTTAAAATGTTGTTTGGATTTTTTTTTTAATTGGTGAATTGTTTGGAATTTTTTTAAGCAGAAGGTGAATTTTGAAATATGTGGGTCTTGGTGCTTTAAAACACAGCCAGGGTTGTTTTCTGTTTCCTGCTGAACCAAATCTGTTTCTAAGTTATGGTGTTTCAAAGTAATTTGGCCAACAAATCAAAGAAATCCTGCAGATATATTGCAAACATTTTGTTTGTTCTGTCTCCCATGACCACAGGAAATTAATTAACCCCCCACCCCCTTGTAACATTGCATTTAAGCCATGGGCAATTAAAAAGAGCCCAGTGCACTCTCTGTTTGCTGATCAGAGAGTGGAGCTGCCCATTACAAAGCTTTTATTGAAGAGAATCCAGTTCAGCTCCACTGCAGGAATGTTGTGCTTCAGGGGGTTGGACTGGATGGTCTCCAGAGCTCCCTTCCAACCCTGATCCTGTGATTCTGTGAAAAGCAGCTCCCTCAGCTGTTCCTGTGCCCCTTATCCTGGTGCTCAGCTCAGCACAGAGCAGGGACCTGAGCCACGTCCCACCCGGTGTCCTGTTCCCTCCTCCCACAAGGATTGATGGAAGGGACCTTTGAAGTCGTGTAGTTCAAAGCTTCACAGTTTGCTCAGGTTGTTCAAGGCCCGAGTGTCTTGGTTTGTTGGCCACAGGGAGTCCTGGGGGTGTTCAGAGCCCAGTGGGAGAGGTGCCAGGCTTAGCAAGCTAAAGGAAAAAATCCAATACAAAAAAAAAAAAAAAAAAAAAAGGAAAAAAGGCTTTGCTCTCAAAGATCAATTTGTTTTCACCAAATGTGTCAACATGAAGGAGGGGGGGAATATTAGTGGATTTACTGTTGATAAAAGAAAAGATAATCTTTGCCTAACACCCTGTCCCTTTCCTGCAGGCCGAGCTGACATTCTGCACTGGGGACATTATCACTGTCTTTGGTGAGATTGATGAAGATGGATTTTACTATGTAAGTTGGCTCCTGCTTGCTCACTTCAGACTGCTCCAAGCTGCTAGAGCACCTTCACCAGCACCAAGCACTAAATGATAGCCCAGGGGAGGGGGGTTCAGGTCACGTCCCACTGACCTTAGATGGGCATTTCCTCTTCCTCACCAGCTTTGCGACAGGCAAAAGTATTTCCTTCCCTTCTTGGGAACCTACACTTGCTTTAACTAAAACATTTCACGGTGTTGCAGGGTGAACTTAACGGACAAAAGGGGCTGGTTCCTTCCAACTTTCTTGAAGAAGTGCCTGATGATGTTGAAGTCTTTCTATCCGATGCACCCTCGCGCTATGTTCACGACACACCGACGCGTTCGAAAGCAAAAAGGGTAAGCAACCGAATAAGACAAACTTAAATTCTTTTATTTCCCATTCCATCCTGTCTCATACGTAATTTAGACGTCACTTTTAACACCTTAAATTCATCTGCCCATTTAAAATTAACTCTCTCAAATACATAGAATAAAACGTAAGGAAAAGCGACTTTAGCCTTCGCTGGCTCGTTACATTTGTAAATGGAGAAACTAAATTGACTGTTTGATTGCAGTCATTACAGTACCTTCCATTCTAATTCGAATTTAAGCAGTTCTTCTCTGGTTGATAGTTACTTCCTAAAGCTTCCAAACTGCTCTTACTACAAAAAGCTCTCATGGACAAAAGATTGGTACCAGTGTTCCTCTAAATACAAACTGTAACTGCAGCTGATTGACTGACAGTGCTCGTCTTTTAATCCTTATGACTTCCTGTTCCAACTGGCATTAGTTAATTGCTCAGAGACTTCTCTTTTATGAAAGATTAACCATGTTTAGAGTATCTCATTTTTGGTTTTGTTTCATCACTGCAATACTTTTATATATTATATATTTTATATATATTTTTATTTCTTTGCTCATCTGCTTGGAAACAGAAGAAGAGTGTTCATTTCACACCTTAATAAGGCAATGTAGCCTTCACGTAAGTGAGCAACTGAAGATACCAATAGAGATTTCAATTAAAGCTACCTGGCTATCTAATGCAAGTCTTGAAACTTAATTGTGGGGGAAAAGGAAAGAAATATGTCTCCAAAAGCCTTGGCCACAGAAGAGCAGGCTTGTATGCTTCTGCTGAATCTAGTCGAGTCAATTGAGGTTTTTTTAGGAGACAAATCCTTTAAAAAGGAATCCTTGGAAGTCAATTAGACCTCACTTTATGAAGGTCAGCGTTTGGAACATATTTCTTCACGAGCTCAATGTTTATGTTTACATAGAAAGGAGAGTTTGATGTCTAACTACCCTACAAACAAAGCTGCATATTGCATTGTTAGCCAACCTGGGAGGTAAAAATTCCAAGCTTCTGTGACAAGAGAAAAGCACAACAGCTCCAACCCTTACAGAACATCCAAGTGCAGCCTAAGCTGATGCACACGGTAGTTTACAAGGGTATAGTTGGTTTTGAAACTCATTACACTCAAACTGAGCTACTTAAATTGTCTGCCTTAAGATGTGTTTTCCACAATCGATTATACCCCAGCCTGCCTAAGACCAACCCTTCAACGCTCCTGAAAACAATCCCTTCCTACGGCACAACTGACTGGGATTTTTGTCCTAGAAAGTGGACATTTGAAATGTTAGCAACTGTTTGGTTTACCAATGCAATAAAAGTCTCGACCTGAAACATGCAGCTCACTGAATGAATGCATTAGACTCAATATATGGTATCTTCAGGTGTACGTTGGGGTGCTTTACCAAGTTGTTTTGGTTTTGTTTTTTTTTTTTTTCATTAGAATTAGACCTTGATTTAAAATCAAAGTCGGCTTGAAGCCCCTTTGCTTAACTCACTGTTGCACAAGAAGCCAGTAAATTGCTGATGTTTTAACTCCAAGCTAACAGGACTCCCTCCAGCATGGATACTACTATGAAAATATCATCTTAATTGATAGTAACCCATCTCGCCAGCTGGGCACTGTAGTTAGGATAGGCTGAGTATAAGCAATTTTAGCATTTTCATCCAAGTGCTTTTGATGATTGAAAAAAAAAATTAGCTGTTCAAAATATTTAGGAATGCTGTCATCTAACAACCTCATGGCTGCAGCATATACATCAAGCAGTCAGGGTCTTTAAGCTTTCTTTGATTGCAATTAAGGTTCATTTTAGCTTTTTCTTTTTCCTTTTTTTTTCTTTTTTTTTTTTTAAGCCAGTGTGCCATCTTCTCTAATCTGTACATAAAGTTTGCTAGCCAATTTTAAAGAAAAGGCATTTAAAGGACATTAAAAAGTAAGTGAACACGTAGCATTTTAAGTAATTTCTTCTGAAAAGAGTTTGGCTTCTATAGATTGCTATCTGTAGTAATTAACACATTTATTTTTCTTAAATCTATAGCTAAAAGTATCCCTCTCCATTTTAGTACTATCTGAGTACTGAAATGCAAAACCCAAGCCAGTTTTGTGGCTTTTGTGGCCAGAATTCTGGCAAAACAAGTGTATCCAACTTTCCCTTTAAAAAAGTATAACCAAACCAGGGCTCTATTGGCGGGTTTCCTATTGTTCTACAATTTTCCCCCCCCCTCTAAATTTATGCATTTGCCATAAGCCCGAGCAGTATTTTAAGCCAGAGAGAAGAAAGGAACCAGCCCTTTTGCTTAAAAAGTGGGGTAATGGGACAAAGTGATGTTACCAAACTTTCTTGATGCTGACAGCTTTGAAGCTTTCAAACATTCAATAAATTATAACAATGTACCTAATAGGTTCCTCCTGAGAATACAGGTACATCCCGGAGAGCACCATCCCCCACAGTTCATCTCCATTCCGGGTCACCTACGTCACCTATGGGTTCTGGTAGTCCCGGGAGAGGCAGGGATATGTCCTCGAAAAAGAAAAAGGGGCTGCTTTCCAAAGGCAAGAAACTGCTGAAAAAGCTTGGTGCAGTGAAATGATTCATGTGCTGCTCCTGGACAACTTGTAAAAGCTTCCAGTCTGTGTATTTTAATTTTTTTTTTCTTTAATTTTTTTTTTCTGAAGTCAAAACTAGGGCTTTCATGACTATGCAGTACAACTTTACCAAACCTCTCTGCATTTTTAACTCTGACATCAATAGAATCATGTGAATTGCTTAATCAAAACAGCAAGAAAAAAAAAAAAAAGGAAGTGGATTTGTTGTTGCAAAAACTTTTTTTTAAAAAAATAAAAAATGTTGTGGGCTTAAGAGCAGAAGAACGTGGTTTTATTTGAAGTCAACTCAACACCTGCAACTCCACTGGAAAAATCTCAGCCTTTTTAGCCTCCTTTAACCACGAGTGGTGGGGAGAAAACTCTGTTCCTTGATTCCTAGTTCAGAGAGATCACCCCACTGTAACTAACCATTAACAAAAATGGTCTTGAAACTCCTAGTTTAATCAGCCTTGATGTTTTGCCTTATTAATGCACAATGATTTGTACTGTCTAATAAATATACAGCGTATACTTTGTATGTACTGTGTATTCAACTGTCTTCATCTTCCCTACAACATGGTAATTTAAGATCAAGTACTATGTTACTGACTCCATTCACTGTCTGATGTAACTCCTGGGAGTTTGAAAGTGCTGTGCTAAACGCTTTTTATTTTTTTTAGTTTTTTTTTTTTTAGTCTTTGCTTCTTTATTTCCCCCCACCTCCAAAAACCAAACCCTTGTATTGGTTTATTCTGTCAACTTATTTTCACTCCACTGAAATCAGATACAGTGTAAGTTACTCAGAACCTCACCCAGAATTTCAACCATTCAACCTCCAGTTTTGGGGTTCCTGGTTTACTGTTCTAAACTACTGGGAAAATTAAAAAAAAAAAAAAACCAAACAAACAAAACAACAAACCAACTCCACACCAAAACCCCTTTACTCCCCCATTTATTTTTTTTCTGTGGAGGTGCAGTTCTAAGTTAAAAAGCATTTTCATATTGCTGATGTCAGATTCAGGATAAAGTACATGTTTAAAGTAAAAAGGACAAACTGTGTTGCAGTCACAGGCCACAGCCAGTAACGAGGCTGCAAGAGGCTCTAATCAAATCTTAATTGTGATATTGGCATATCAAGACAAACAATCTTACACTGATGGCAGTCATTGGCTGTTACTATTTTGTAATTCTTGTCCATTTGTAAATTGTTTTTACTGTTTATACATACTTTTCAGACTGCCTTTCTTTTTGTAATTTATGGAAGGTTTATAAATGAATGATCAAAGCTTCCCCATTGTGTCTTCAGATAATAATGTAAATTACTGTAAGATACCGTGTGCTAGATTATAACATTTAATTAAAGAAAATAACTGGCCTAAAGTTGTGGTAAAGTACTGTGTGGGTGTGTGCATGTGTACAATTGTTGTGTATTATATTTTATATAAATAAATAATTTGATATTTTGTAGAGTGCAGTACGTTTCATAAATCTACTGTAGCAGCTGCTTGGTTGCTGTGCCAGCCTTCTCTCCCTCCCTCCTGGCCCTGGCACCCCTGGTCAGATCCCAGGTGCCCAGGGAGCCAAGGACAAGCACATGGCCATGGTGCAAGTCACCCCTTCAAACACTGCACCAAAGAGGAGAAAGAGCAGCCCCCAGTGAGCATCTCCTACCTTTCTGCAGCTGCACAAGGTCCTTCTCAAGTGACCTCAAATGAAAAAAAAAAAAAAAAAATGGATCAGAATGAATATCTGTGACAGGAGTAAATAAGTGGTATGTAACCAGCAAGAAATACAAAATACTAAGTAGTGGATAGGGTAGGCTACCACTGTATGACATCAGAAACACAAAACTATTTGCCCAAAAAACCCTCTGCATCTCTTCACTACAAATTTAATGTGGAAGAAGTTGGCAGAGTTCTCTCAGCCTAGGAAAGGAAAAAACCTCAACTGAATACAAGTCACAGAATTCTCATTTTTCAGAATTGTCAACAGTTAGTTTACTGTAGAATAAAGAAAGGCTCATCTACATGCAAGACTGCAAGAGCTTTCCAGAGACAAAAAGTGCTTGCAAAGCTATGTGGCAATTGTCCCATCTATGCCCAAAGCCCACTGTTGAAGTACCTAAGCAAATACAAAGAACAGAATCAAACAAGCAAGGAATTACAGCAACAAGTTTATTTAAATCTCACAAAGAACAGGAACAAGCTTCACAACAACTTGGTTAGGAAAATCAGCACTAATCCATATTTTTCCATGTGTGCTATTTTGACTCTGGTATAAACTCTGAAATCTACTTCCATCCACACAACTGCTTCTTGCTTTACAAACTGAGCTGCTGCTGCTCAACAGTTACCAAGGAAAACCTCAGACATGCAAAAAAAACCAAGGCCACTGCCCAGTGCTTAGAACTACAAAAACAAAAAACTCCCTGAACCTGGTCAGTGCACTGACACTCAGATGGAAGTTATTATTCACATTTAACAAGCATGTGGTTAAATAGTATCAGTCCAGAAGTTTAATTCCTTTCAGTGATGACAGTGGGAGGAAACTGCTGTAGACAACTGCACAGTGAACATGGAGTTACAAGACTAAGAGAAAGGACTTCGACAGGATAGTCCATTCTAAGTCTCACAGCTGCTCCAACAGCATCCAAGCCATCCCTTTTTGTGGAGAGAACAGTGTAGTCTTGGATAATAAAGGTGCTCCAACAGCTGTGGTAAGGGACAGAGATCATTTTGCCTTTGTCAGTCAGTCATGTAACTCTGGCATCCACAGCACCTCCTCCTCAGCTGAGCCAGTGTGAAAAAGCCCCACTTCACTCCCCTCTGCTCCCAGGGAGACTCCAGACACTTTCTAGTTGGTTTGCAAATCCTTCCCCCAGTGGCAGCCTTAAACCAAGAACATCTTACAGCCTCTTTGTAAGGTATAAAACAGTTTAGGAAACAAAATTTTGCCCTCATTTTAACAGACAAGAAAAACAAGGAATCAACAGTTTTGAAGCATTTTGAAAATTAAAGTTTAACATACTAG